CCCAAGGGAGGAAACAAAACATCAGGCTGCACAAATGTTTTTAGCTGCCGAAAATCATACCTCAAAATAGAAAATTTGTTGTCCAACCCAGTTACGAATGCTGATAAAACACTGGGCTATTGGAAATTGTCGACCGAGAACATATAAATCATATATTTTCCCAAGTTTCCACGCATTTTTGAGGAAACTTGACCATTTCTATTCTTCGTTATACCAGACTTCAAGTTACTAGTATGTAAAGCCCTCAAACGACAGGAATGCAAATGTTTTCTGTGTGAGGGCGCTCTACGCGTGCGCAGTTTGGTATATGCAGGAAGAAAAGAAATGATCATATTTCGTCATAAATGCGTCTAAGGTATATTGTCATATATTGCAGTCCCTTTAAATGACATTTTTTTTATTATCTGCAGGTGTAACGCAGCAGCAGACGTCCGACGGTATGGCCCACAGTAAGGTAAAAGCTGTATTCAATCAATTCGACTTAGACGGTGATGGCGTTATCACAATCAAGGAACTAACAGAAGGATTGAAAAGGATGAACATCGCGTCAACGCCTGAAGAGGTTTATATGTTTATGAGGGAGGTGGATCTTGACGGCGATGGAAAGATAGATTTCAACGAGTTCACTATATACTACGTTGGTAAGCAACAGCAGAAACTGAAACAACAGACAGCGACCGATTGTTTGTTTGGGAAGGAAGGGGGAAAATGTAAGTATTCCGTCTTCAAACTTGAGTCACGTAGTCGCAGTGCCTGTAATCGTATGCGTCTGTAACCAGAAAAAAATAATGGATCTACAAGTACACGCAACGAAACGTATTAATATGCAAATATAATATGTGCCGGCTTGTGGTGACCTGGAAATAGTATGAGGTTATTACGAGAATACCGCAAAGTATGCACGGAGGCAATACGGTGACCGTATTGATTGACGCGTGGCGGAGGTTGATGCGTCCCCGTACTGCCTCAGTGCATACTTTGCAATAACTCGTGATAACCTTATTATTATACATCTTGCGTTGTACGAACGTTTGAGTTCAGTTACAGGATTCTATTTATATTCGATTTGTGTCGAGAGCCACGATGAGTTAATGTTTGAGTTAACCGTTGAGAACGCTTTCCACTCAACGAATTGCATTTACTTAGTTATGCCATTGTTCTAGGTCCGTCCGTTACTGAGCTCCGTACTCGATTTGCTGAGCTAGACGCAGACGGAAACGGATTCATTACCCTAGATGAACTCAAAGCGGCGCTAATCAATAAGAAGGGGAGCTGCACTGACGAGGAAGTGTACAAGTTGATGAGGGAGGCGGACGAGGACGGCGATGGCAAAATCAGCTTTGACGAGTATGTCGTGAC